TATGTGGTGCTGCTGAGGATCGAACCCGGGCCGCACGCATGCCAGGCGAGCGCGCTACCGCTTGAGCCACATCCCCAGCCCTTGGGGATTATTTTAATGAACCTCATTTGTACTGGTTTTGCCACCCACATTTTGGAATTTTTTTTTGTTTTTAAATATTTATTTATTTTTCTTTTCGGTGGACACAACATCTTTGTTTGTATGTGGTACTGAGGATCGAACCCGGGCTGCACGCATGCCAGGCAAGCACGCTACCACTTGAGCCACATCCCCAGCCCCTTGGAATTTTTTATTTATAACAATTTTTTTTTGAGAGAGAGAGAGAGAGAATATTTTTAATATTTATTTTATTTTATAGTGTTTTTTTTGGGTGGGGGGACACAACATCTTTATTTGTATGTGGTGCTGAGGATCAAACCCAGGGCCGCACGCATGCCAGGCAAGCGCACTACCTCTTGAGCCACATCCCCAGCCCAATAACAAATCTTGATGTTAGTTACTTCTATGTATATGTTAAAATGAAGGATATTGAATAAGATTTGATTTATATTTGATATCTCAGAATTATTGTACCTTCTTATATTTATACATTACAGCCTTTTTTTGGTTCTACACAGGTTTTTCAAGGGACTGATGAACAACTAAATGATTTATATCATAATCATCAGAGAACAGTAAGAGAGAAAGAAAGGAGATTAGTAGACTGTCAGCGTGAATTGGAAAAACTAAACAAAGAATCTAGGCTTCTCAATCAAGAAAAATCAGAACTTCTTGTTGAACAGGGTAGGACATAGTGTTTACCTGTCCTTTCTGCCTACTACATATAACATTGTACATTTTTTGCATGAATGAAGAAACCCCAAGGAATTATACTGAGTGAAAAAAGCCATTCTCAAGTTATATATAGTATGGTTTAATTTGTTCAACATTTTTGAAATGTCAAAATTAAGAAATAGTGGACATTTGGGAGGCTGAGGCAGGAAGATTGTGAGTTCAAAGCCAGCTGCAGCAATTTAGTGAGGTCCTAAAGCAACTCAGCAACACTCTGTCTGCAAATAAAATATAAAAAAGGACTAGGGATGTGGCTCTCTGGTTAAGCACCACTGAGTTCAATCCCCGGTGCCAAAAAAATATTTTTTTAAAAATAAAAAATATTTTTTGTGGTACTAGGGATTGAATCCAGGAACTCACATGTTAGGCAAGTACTGTATAACTGAACTACATCCTCTCCCCTTTTTATTTTTATTTTGAGGTACAGTTTTGCTAAGTTGCCCATGTGGGCCTCAAACTTGTGATTTTCTAACCTCAGTCTCCCAAGAAGCTAGAATTATAGGTGTGTTCCACTGTACCTGGTTCATGTTGTGTTATTTTAAAAATCAGCTGAAGAAAAGAATTATTGAGTTTTTTGTTCTTTTTTTTAAGGTCGTCTACAGCTACAAGCAGATCGTCATCAAGAACATATCCGAGCTAGAGACTCATTAATTCAGTCTTTGGCAACACAGCTAGAATTGGATGGCTTTGAGCGTGGACCATTCAGTGAAAGACAGATTAAAAATTTTCACAAACTAGTGAGAGAGAGACAAGAAAGGGAAACAGAAACTGCCAACCAACTGATGGTAAATATTTTGAAATATAGTGTTTGCTGTTTTCTTTTGTATCGGATTTAGTAATTGAATTGTTTAATTTTTGGATGAACCCTATTTTGGAATATTTTTAGATTAGTGTTAAATTAGAAACTGCTATAAAGTACAAAAAACCTTATGGATGCAAATTTTTAAAAAATTTATAAGGATAAAACCATGAATAAAATATAGGCCCACATTTTTTTATTTGCTGTTAAGTAAAATCTCTTAAGGTTAATTGCTAAAAAATGTTTTTCATAATTAATGATGATTATTTCTGGGTGATGCTTTTTACATTTTTAAAACACTTTTCTGTATTTTCTTCAGTGTACATATGTTATTTTTCATAAAAGAAACTGAAAGTTTTTTATGAAAAAAATTAATGCACATTCTTCATGTATGTATTTAGAATGACTTTGCAGAAAAAGAAACTCTGAAACAGAGACAGATAGATGAGATAAGGGATAAGAAGACTGGACTGGGAAGAATAATTGAGCTAAAATCAGAAATCCTAAGTAAGAAGCAAAATGAACTGAAAAATGTGAAGTACGAATTACAGCAGTTGGAAGGATCATCAGACAGGATTCTTGAACTGGACCAGGAGCTCAAAAAAGCTGTAAGATATTTAAGTAATCTAATAATCTCAATGTACAAGACATTTAGAATCTTGTATTCTGAGGCATTTTATCTAATCTTTGTTTAAGATTATGGCACGTTAATGAAAATGTCAGCCTTTGCTGACATGTAAAATTTATCTAAATATTTTCATCACTCAGCTGTTTGGTTCTGGAACCAGGTGGGTTGAAAATTAGAATCACCTAGGGAGTTTGTTAAAGATACCTGAGTTCTTTTTTTTCATTATTATTTTTAAAAATTTGAATTAGTTATACATGATAGTAGAATGCATTTTGACACATTGTATACAAATGGAGCACAACTCCTCCTTCCTCTGGCTGTACTTGGTGCAAGTCATAAGGGTAGTGTAATCATATATGTATTTAGTCTAATGTCTGTCTTATTCCACCATCCTTCCTGTCCTCACACCCATTCCCCTCCCCTCACTCCCTTCTGCACAATCCAAAGTTCCTTCATTCTTCTCCATCCCTCCCCTCATTATGAATAAGTCTTTGCTTATCAGAAAGAACATTCGTCCTTTGGTTTTTTGGGTTTGGCTTATTTTGCTTAACATGATATTCTCTAGCTTCATCTATTTATCTGCAGATGCCATAATTTCATTCTTCTTTAAGGCTGATATCTGTGTTCTTAAAGCTTAAAACCTTCCAAATCAATGTAATTTTGAGAGTGAAGCATGAAAATGCATGTTCCAAACAACAGGACTGATTGTTATGAACATCTTGGTTAAAAACCAGTTATCTAAGTAAAAAAGCAAGTAAAGTATTTTTCTTCTAGTTTCCATACACTGCAATTTTATATGACCTTTACCTTTTTTTCACTTTTTTTCTATGATGAAAACTTTCTTTTTTTTCTTTTTTTTAAAGAAAGTGAGAGAGAGAGAGAGAGAGAGAGAGAGGATTTTTTTTAAGAGAGAGTGAGAGAGGAGAGAGAGAGAGAGAGAATTTTTAAAATATTTATTTATTTTTTAGTTCTCGGCGGACACAACATCTTTGTTGGTATGTGGTGCTGAGGATCGAACCCGGGTCACATGCATGCCAGGCGAGCGCGCTACCGCTTGAGCCACATCCCCAGCCCTGTGATGAAAACTTTCTGAGAGCCATTCTAAGAATTTCCAAGTATTCTTCCTTGCTTCTAACCTGCCCCCTTCTTTTATATTTTATCACCAAAGTCATCATCCTAAAGATTCCAAATTCTTTTTTGATAATTTAAACATTATTTTTCTCCTTAACTCGCATATATTTTTATTATTTTGGCACATATCACAGCATTCTCTTCTTGGGGTAAGGAATGACCAGTCAGGGTCTACATCACACTATTTTTGTAGTTTCCACATGCCAAATGATATTTACATAGGACTTAATTGTTGACTGAAGAGTTATTAATCTAAATAGTTAGACATAGTTCTCCTAATTTTGCTCTAATTCTCATTTTCCCTTTATCTTTGAGTCTTCTAGGTTTATTTACTAATTCTTTACAATTCATAACCTAATAAGGTAATTCTAATAAAAATTTCCCTAAGTCATATAGAGCTGGATTTTTTTTTCTCTTGTTGGATACTAGCAAATAGTAATACTTTGGCTATTCTTTTTTTTTTTTTTTTTGTACTGGGGATTGAACTCAGGGGTATTTGACCACTTAGCTACATCCCCAGCCCTATTTTGTATTTTATTTAGAGACAGGGTCTCACTGAGTTATTTAGTGCCTCGCTTTTGCTGAGGCTAGCTTTGAACTCGTGATCCTTCTGCATCAGCCTCCCAAGCTGCTGGGATTACAGGTGTGCGCCACAGCACCCGGCCTATTCTGAGGAGTAATTTTCTATACACTTTGTCATTATATTAATTCTATACAAAATGTATAAACTTGTGCATTTGTTTGAACTATTGCTTAGGAACGTGAACTAAGCAAGGCTGAGAAAAATTGCAATGTAGAGACCCTAAAAACAGAAGTAATAAACCTTCAAAATGAGAAAGTAGACCTAGACAGGACCTTGCGTAAATTGGACCAGGAGATGGAGCAGTTAAATCATCATACAACAACCCGTACCCAGATGGAGATGCTGACCAAGGACAAAGTATGATTTTTTTTTTTTTCTGTTCTCACTATACTGTCTGGTATTTAAAATGGCTTATCTTGCATTCATAATTGATAGACTATAGAGTGTTGCTTTGGTGTTGGCATTCTATTTAGAGGATAAGTGAACTTAATACTCTGTAAAGTGAACTTTTAAGCTTAAAAGTTGTTTTTATTTATTTATTTTTAAACAGGCTCTTGCTATGTTACCTAGTGGGCTGCAAACTCCTAGGCTCCAGTGATTCTTCTTGCCATGGCTTCTTGAGCAGCTAGGATTATAGGCATGCATCACTATACCCAGCAAAATTTTATTTTTAATTACAAAAAGTTAATAATACAGAAGTACATAACTAAACACACACACACACATATATATATTATTAACTTTTAACACACTAAAGTTTTTAAATTTTTATTTTAGACTTGTTACTCTTCTCTTATGGCTTAGCAAGACCATACCCAATCTAAGACTTAAAGAAATTTTATATTTCCTTTTTGCATTATTGTAGTTTTATTTTTTTTAAGTTAGTCTTATTTTGTTCTTGATATTAAGTAGAAACACAGACTTGATTTTTGAAAGTTTTTGTTTTTTACCTATAGGCTGACAAAGATGAACAAATCAGAAAAATAAAATCTAGGCACAGTGAAGAACTAACTTCATTGTTGGGGTATTTCCCCAACAAAAAGCAACTCGAAGACTGGCTTCATAGTAAATCAAAAGAAATTAATCAGACTAGGGACAGACTTGCTAAATTGAAGTAAGTTTTTGGAACATTACCATTATAATAGAAATGTCTTTTCATGCTTTTATTTTTAATTGTTTGAAAAATAATTTATTGTCATGAAATGGTATTATGTCATATTAATTGACCTTTTTTTTGGGTAAGTTAAGTAAAATAGCAGTGGGTGGTGGTTTGGGCCTCTGGTCTCTTGAAAATTTGTAGTCTAACTATAAATTTTAGATTAAAATTCTAAAATTCTCTTGGGATGGGGTTGTGTCTCAGTGGTAGAGCACTTGCCTAGCATGTATGAGGCCCTGGGTTTGATCCTCAGTACCACATAAAGATAAATAAATAAAGATATTGTATCCATCTACAACTAAAACATATATATTTTTTAAAGGCAAGAGCTCAAGAATCAAGATTTAATAAAGTTAGTAATTAAAAAAATTGTTTTAAATTCTCTGTTCATTTCTGTAAATAAGCCATTATAAAAGTCATAGTTTTTCTTGGATCTTATCTTAGCTGGTGGTTGGATAAGAAGGTGAAACATTTCACATTTTTGCAGGGTTACAATTACATTTCCTGGGAAACACCAGCATTTAAAACTTGTCCAGTAGAGGAAGAGGAGCAAGGGAAGAAAATAGGGTTATGCTCAGAGATCCAGGGTGGGAGCCAAGCAGGAATAGTATCTGGTGTGCCATGGGAAGATAATCCTCCAAGGAGAGGGCAACAGTGTTTGATGCTTCTTAGAAATAGATGAAGAATGCACTTGGCACTTAGATCATTGGTGACTTTGATGAGAAGTGCTTAGTGGAGCCTAAGATGGTGAAAGTATCATCTATATTATTTTTTCCACATTTTTACTATGACTCAAAAGGATGTTATGATGAAGTGTGTGTACACGTGTTTATCTAAAGCAAATTCTCAAAATAATACTTGTACATATTATTTACTCTATTACATTCTTTTCTGTTTCATTTTTAAGAATATGCTGACTATATTGCATTAAATTGATTATATGACTGCTGGTACATTATAACCTGTAAGTTGAAAAAACAATATGTGTGAGCCTTGATTGGCCATGATTTAAGAATTGATGTAGAAGTAAATTATACTAGCAAGCAAAATCTCTTTTTAAAAACTTTTTTAGTTGTTGGTGGACTTTTATTTTATTCATTTATTTATATGTGATACTGAGAATCGAACCCAGTGTCTCACATATGCTAGGTAAGTGCTCTACCACTGAGCCACAATTCCAGTCCTAGTGAGCAAATCTTTGATGAATGAAAGGTAATAAGCAATTGAGAATAGGTAGATGATCACAACAAAGAAGAGACAAAGGAAAGGCTTTCATAGGACATTAGAAAAGTAATATTTTAAGGGGACCCAAAGGAACTAGGAAATGCTTTCTTTTCCTTATTCCTTCCAGTAGGCAAAATATCTTCAGCCTGCTGAGGCTCTTAACCTGGGATCTAAGACCATGACCCCTACTTCCCCAAATCAGGCAGAATTATGCCTATGTACATTTTTATGGGAGCAGATAATAACCAGAATTGGCAAATGAGTCTGTGTACTAGGGGGAGCATTAAAACAGAAATGAATTGTTGCTATGACTAATAAGTATTTGGGATAGGGATGGAACACAGTGTAGAGCATGTGCTTACACGTGCTTCAGTCCCTAGCACCTAATAAATTAGATAGATTGGTTGGTAGGTAGGTAGGTACATAGATAGATAAAAGGAAGGAAGATATTTTGGAAAAGTATTTGATCATACCAAACCCTTGTAATGATTTATTGGCAGAATTTGTCTTCTGCCTTATCAAATTTTTCTCATGTTTATAATCCACATTTATTTTTATTTTAGCAAGGAACTAGCTTCAGCAGAGCAAAATAAAAATCATATAAATAATGAGCTGAGAAGAAAGGAGGAACAGTTGTCCAGTTATGAAGACAAGCTGTTTGATATTTGTGGTAGCCAGGATTTTGAAAGTGATTTAGACAAGCTTAAAGAGGAAATTGAAAAATCCTCAAAACAGAGAGGTAAGTTATCTATTTTATATTATCAAGGCATTTTGACACTTCTTTAATTTTAAATAAATTTTTATTCATATTTAACTATTAAGAATGGGAAATTTTAAAACCTTGTTATGGAGTCAAATGGCTTCAACTTCAGTAAGGCTCTATAGCTTACTGTCTGACTTTGGTCAACTTACCTTCCTGAGTTTCAGATTGATCATCTATAAAATAAAGACACAACTACCTACCATCTGGAGTATTAAAGAGAAATAAGTGATATTATAAATGTAAAACCCTGAGAATAGTGCCTGGCACTGTAGCTATCTCTCAATAAATGTTATTCTTTTTGTATATTTCAAAAATAACTTGTACGTGTGTAATGTGTTATAAAGCAAGAGGAACAATCATACATTTATAGAAGAAAATGGATATTTTTCTCACTGGAAATGTATTTATTTTCTTAAAATAGCCATGCTGGCTGGAGCCACAGCAGTCTACTCCCAATTCATTACTCAGCTAACAGATGAAAACCAGTCATGTTGCCCCGTCTGTCAGAGAGTTTTTCATACAGAGGCTGAATTACAAGAAGTTATCAGTGATTTGCAGTCTAAGCTGAGGCTTGCTCCAGATAAACTCAAGTCAACAGAATCAGAGCTGAAGAAAAAAGAAAGGCGGCGTGATGAAATGCTGGGGCTTGTGCCCATGAGGTGAGAATAGGGTTTATCCTTATTGTATGTGTAGCATCTGCCCTGTAAGGCCTGGCATATGGTAAATGCTTGGTAAGGATGTGTTGAAAAATTAGAAATCAAAGTCAGGATTCTGAGCCAGTCATACCTTACCTTGTGTTTTTTATATGATAGAAGAACCAATGATTTTGTTTAAAGTTAAGCTTGTTTTTAAAACTAGTCAAGAAAATAGATGTAGTCTTTACATTTGTGTGTGGGGGGGTGTGTGGGTGTGGGTGGTATGTGTTAATTCCTGAGACATGATTTGAAGTTCTGAAAAATTCTCCCCAAAATCAAATTTTAAACAATGTTTTAAAAAAGGATGAATCATAGATTGTTTCTATTATTTTTTTCCTATACTTGCACAAGAAATTAATTAATTTTTCTCTTTCCACATTTTATTTATTGGTATGTTGTAGTTGTACATATGATGGATTTTTTTTTTTTGTTACATACACACAATATAATTTGGCCAGTATCACTCCTCAACACTTCCCCCTCCCTTTCCCCCTCCTACCTGCTCTGGTCCCTTTCCTCTGCTGATCTACTTTTGATTTTCATGAGATGCTCTTGCCACCTTTCTTTTTCTTTTTCCTCTCTAACTTCCACATTTGAGAGAAAACATATGACCCTTGACCTTCTGAGTTTGGCTTATTTTGCTTAACATAATGGACCCAAGTTCCATTCATTTTCCTGCAAATGGCATAATGTCAGTTTTCTTTTATGGCTCAGTGAAGCTCCATTATGTATATATACCACGTTTTATTTATTCATTCATCTGTTGAAGTGCACCTAGGCTGGTTCTATAGTTTGGCTGTTGTTAATTAAGCTGCTGTAAGCATGTATCACTGTAGTATGATGAATTTAAATTCTTTAGGATAAATACTAAGGAGTGGTATAGCTGGGTTATATGGTGATTCCATGCCTGGACTTCTGAGGAATCTTCATACTGCTAATTTACAATCCTACCAACAGTTGCACAAGAAATTTAGGTGATGGGTTTTTTTTAATATTTATTTTTTATTTTTAATTTTTTTAATTTTTTTTTAAATTAATAAATCTTATATGTTTTATTTTATAACAATATTGGTAAAATATACTCAGGTGAAAATATACATTTAAATAATGATACATGTACATGTCCATTTTTATTAAGAATAGTGAAATACATCTATTTTTGTAATATACTTTTGTTCATGAAAGCATCATAAATATTATTATCAAAAATTATTGTAGCTGCACAAAAATTAAAAATCCAAATTGTGTATATCTCAATAAATTAATGGCTTTAAGTGACTGAAATTTCTGAATCTGTTATTGTGAAACACAAATACTCAGTAAAATATGCTCTGAAGAAAACCTCAATTTCAAAATGTAAAACATAGAAAGGAGTATTTAGAGTTGTTTTACCATGAGATTAAATTAAAATACTTTTGATACCTGAACAAATACTCTGAAGTTTTTACCCTTAAGAAATACATATGAAAGAGTACAGCAATTCTGTCTCGAGTAATGCAAGCATAAGAGAAAGATAAGAATATTAAGTAAGCCTCAAAAATATGAGGATCATGAAATAAATAAATTTTTGGCAAGTAAATATCTAGAATCAACTTTGATTTAAAGTCAAAACTAATAAGCATTTTAATTTACCAAATCTTAATGATTTAATATATTAGAGAAAAGAAATCAGAATTCAAAGCAAAGACTTGAGAAATGGGTGTGCAAAGCAAGGTTTAACCTCAGAAAATTTTTTACATCCCCTGTGTCTGTCCATGTTTCTCTCTCACATCTTTCCACTGTGACACCAAAAACAAAAACAAAATGAAGAACAAGTTTTTGAGTAATTATATTTAGGTCTTAAAACAGTTAAAGAAAATTGTTAGCTCTCTTTGTCTATTTTTAGTAGCAATTTGCCTTAGTATTTCTTCAATAATTAATGATCACCCTGTGCTTGTTGCTCATGATATAGAATGAGGTTCTGAAGAGCACTATTAGAATAATGTCAGAACAAAAAGTGCTACAGAACAGTAGGAACTGAAGAACAAGGCTGAAGCCAGTGCAGGACCACATAGCATGTAGGGCTATCTCAAGGAGGAATGGAGGTGGTATATGAGGTCTGACCTCCCTTTGCCAAGACAAAGGGCAGGCTAGTACACACTGTCTAGGAAAATACTTTTCTTCAAATCTTATATTTTAATGGATGCATGGTAAGAATCCAGAAGTTAAATTACAAACTAGCACATTTACATTCATTTCTGGGACACTTTTATTCTAGTTCACTAGATAAGCTAATTTTAATGCCTTTCACCATGTCCTAATTGATATTCTAGCTATGGTGGATAACTTTTTCTTATTTGATATTTTCCAGGGAATTTACAAAGGATTCCATTACAGAATGCATTCATTTTAAAAAATTGTTAGAGCAACAGATTAAATTGTTTAAAACACATACATAGTAGTATCACAGGATATGAAGTGTGTGTAGTTGGACACAATACAATTTATATTTATTTCACCCATCCATCATTATGTGGTGCTGAGGATCAAACCCAGGATCCCTCATGCGAGGCGAGCACTCTACCACCGAGCCACAACCCCAGCCCATAGATGATAGTTTTTGTTGTTGTTATTTTGTTTGGTTTGGTTTGGCATCTGGGTGTTCTACCACTGCTCTACATCCTTGGCCCTTTTAATTTATTTTTCATTTTTTGAAACAGGGATTCACTAAATTTCTAGGACTGGCCTTGAAATTTCGGTCCTCCTGCTTTAGTGACCTGAATCTTGGGATAACAGGGATGTACCACCACACCTGGCTAAATGATAACTGTCTTTTTATAAATCAAATCAGATAATATATAATGATTACCCTGATATCTCCCAGATCATAGAGTATAATCCTGATCACAGAGACTAGTAAGACATAACCCACAAGGAACTAATGGTCTAATTAAAAAGAGGCAAGCTCTCAATATTAGATAAAAAGCTGGGCTTAATAATGTGCTTAAAAATGAACAAGTTTAAAAGAGAGAAGTCAGTGGATACAGAATGAGAAAAATTATTTTGAGAATGAGCTAGGAAGGAGAATATGAAGAGTAGAGAATTTGGTATGACTTAGTTAAAAGGAGAAAAGGGAAAAGGGAAATCATAACCATGTATGCACAGGAAGAGCAGTAGGACCTACGCTTCAACTGAAATGTTATTTGGTGTTTGGGAAATTATTTGTAGGAATTGATTCTCATAAGTTGGGAAGATAGGGCTACGTTATACTCAGGCCTAGTTATAACATTGTTTCATAAGTTAGAAAGAATTATCTTCAGGGATTTAATAAAATATATATTTTGGGAAGTTGAGTGGCTCGGGATAAAAAATATCTGGAAGCAGAAAAACTAGGAGACTATACTGTCTAGGAAAATCAAGGAGAATTTTAGGAAAAAAGAGGAGGAGAGGTCTAAGAAGATGTGTTTTGTGGCAGCCAGCTGTTAAAGGTGGTCCCCAATGGACTCTGCTTCCTGGTATTCATGTGTCCTCTCCTCTTATGATGTTGCAGGTTTAATCTGTGTAACCAGTAAAATGGGACAGAAGTAATAGCATATCCCTTCCAAGATTAGGTTACCTAAGGTATTATGGCTCCTGTTACCCCACCCCTTTCTGGGAGAAGGTAGTGGCCATGTTGTGAACATTCCTGTGGAGAGGCCCATATGGCAAGAACCTACAGCCTTTGAACAAGGAAGTTTGGAAGCAGATTTTTGTAGCATTAGTCCTTAGACGACTGCATCCTTGGCAGACAGCTTGACTACACTTTATGAAAGACCCTGTGTCAGAAGCATATTTCCTTATCCCATAGCTGTGAGAAATAATAAGTGTTTTTGTTTTATGCTGCTAAGTTTGGGGTTATTTTATTATGCAATAATAGGTAACTAGTATAAGTATCAGTTCAGTGATGCCACAGAAAAAATTTGATAAGGAGATAGAGCAGTAGTTCAAGACCCTTCTCAGAGTAAGGTACCTGTCTTATTCATTGTTTTGTCTGCACAATTCCTCATATGTTATAACTTTGATAACTGATGAGTGAAGAACTGTAGGATCTGTTCCACTTATTTATTGCTGCATAACAAACATCCTCAAAACTTAGAGCCTCACAGCAAAAATTTTTTTTAATAATTTTTCATGATTTTTTGGGGGGCTGGGGATGTGGCTCAAGCGGTAGCGCGCTCGTCTGGCATGCGTGCGGCCCGGGTTCGATCCTCAGCACCACATACCAACAAAGATATTGTGTCCGCCGAGAACTAAAAAATAAATATTAAAAATTC